AAGGAGGGTTTGGGTAGGATATTGGCTTGGACCTTGTTTTCATTTCCATTGGGAATGTTTTTTAGCTGGCACTCAAACTACATGTGTAAATAGCCCAGGAGTTAGGGAAGCTGCTTTACTGTATCCTCCTATAACTAACAATGGAAACCCTTTGAGAATCCTATGAGCCTCGGTGGAAGTTTGCATGTCTCCTGACACGCGGGATTAGCCACAGTGTTCAAATATTTATCCTGATGGCACTTCTCTACGAGGAGCTGCCTGCTCTGCAAAGAGCCAGGGGGAAGACAGATAGGGGAGGCTGGAGCTGCTGGCATCGTGGTGCCCACAGAGCTGGGCCATGAGGGGCAAACCTGCTTTGCAAATATGATTTTGGCTGATCTGAGTTTACTCTGTCACAGTGAATTCAGAATCAAATTAAAAAGAGAATACAGAGCTGCTGCACTGTATGCAGATCTGGCCAATTCCAGCATGTAATAGGTCAGCTCAGTGCAGTTACACTTCTTTGTCTTGCTTGGTGGGTCCCCAATTTGTCTTCATTTTATTCCTGTCTCTGCCTTCACTCTTCCTGGTCTGTATTTTATAGTCAGTGCCTCTCAGGATTGATTGCACAGTCTGCACCACAGAGCTGGGCAGAGTGCAGGCTAAAATTCTTCAGCATGTACAGATATTTTTAAGTGATCTGCTAACAAGAAAAATGAAAACTTGGCCTCTATTTGCTGACAAATGTTCAACTTAAACAATTCTGAGAGTTTCTTGTTTTACATGGTTGACAGCTGTGGAAAGATGAAACATTTCAGAGATGTGTCCTTAGAAATACAGGAACTTCATGACATCTTTTCTGTGTGGAAGGCCTGTTAGAAAATAGGATATAAAGAACTACCTGCATAAGTCAGTTTGAAAAGGGGACCCAGGCATCTTAAATCAGTGTGTAAATAGCTTCATAAATCAGGTAGCATGATATGGCTCTGAGAAGCTTTATAAATGAGTTTGAAAGTAGACAACAGCTGAAATAGAAACAAGGGCACACTGTGGGGAATGTATTATAGCTGCCTTGTACCAAGCATTTCAACAGTGATCTCAGTGTCACGTGTGGCCTTGCTGAAGTGGGTATGAAGGACAAGAGGAATTTCTGTCCCACTGGCAATATCCTCGTCACCTCAGCAGTTCCTAACTCAGCTGCCTTGAGGAATGTGCTGCTATTGGTGATGCTCCAGGAGGAGACGTACGGAGCCTTTTTGAGTGCAACTCATGTCTGAAACACAATTTGAAGAGAAGCAAAAATGGCCCAAATTTACAAAAGCTGAGCAGCTGAGCAGCTGAGAATGGAGGCACCTCACAAGAACTCCTTGGTGGTGGACGAGTGGCTCCTCTGCAAAGACCATTGCAGGTTCTGGCCTCAAGTGACCTCACTGGGAACTTCACCACACATTGGAGCATGGCTAAGCCCAGGGCCTGGGGCATGCTGTGCTGCCTGGGAGCACACTCTGTTGCTCCCAGCTGAGATGTGTCTGTGCCTCGGTGTGGCCAAGCTGCCACAAGCAAGCGTACTCCTTGGTGAAGTCCATTGGAGATTTTGGAGCATGGTTGTTTTGATGAAGGTAGCTTCTTTGCACCGCCTGAGTGAGCAAGCAGCATGTGAGATGGGGTGAATCAAGGGCAATCTGTTGTCATATAATGTGCCTATTTCTTTTTACTCTTCTGCTTATTTTTTTGAGCAAAGAGAGACAGACAGTAGGTTTGACTGACTGAGTTAGAGGAGTTGTAACATCCATGCACAAAAAGTGACAAAACAGGACAAAATGTATAAAGCCTTTGTGCCAAAAGGCGAACCCCCAGTTCTGGGGTGTGTCTGGGACTGAAACCCTGTTATTAGGAATGACCAAACCCAGTCCTGGCTTTGCTGGATTTTGTCACAATAACTCCACTAAGGCCAGTAGTGAGTATTGAAAATCCTGGCCCATAACAAATATCAATAATGAATACTTCTGGCATTTTGTCTGAGACAGAGTATCCTGCGAGAAGGCATGGTTATATTCATTTCTGGTTTTATATCCCACACTTTTCCATCTCTTAAGACAATGGATTCACATGGCATATTTCACAGACAGGAAGTTGATTTTTTGGCACCAAAGAAATGTGTGCTGTACTTAGAGATCCCTAAATATACAACCAAATTACATTTCCCTTCAGAGCAGTATTAGGATGGCACCAGATAACAGAGCAAGTTTAGTTCAGGAAATTAATGATGCTTTCTCTAATCAAATCTGCAAAGAAGATTTGGCAAGAAGGGTGCATACAGACAAGCTATTGCTGAGTCTGGACAAGGCATTAAGGACATTAATTTTTAAATTGTGGGGGAATCACTAAAGATCTGAAGAAGAGGAAAAGGGCACACAGTCTCCATTTATTTAAATCAGAGCTAATACCAGCAGAGACACAGACCCTAATACTAAGTCAAAGCATTGATGCATTATTTATGCAAAGGCATTGGAGTTTGTGGACTTATGGCTCCTGACTAAAGTCACTTCGGGTTCAGTGCTGCAGGGATGTCAAGCTACAGACAACCTCAGTTAATGCCTTTGTTAGGGGAAGGCAGTGAAGGCACATTATTGCTTTGGAGATCTGAGTCTTGCTAGTAAGAGTGCTGCTCCTAGCAGCAAGCCTTTCCTAGGCTGAAAGAAGCACGCTGGTTGCTTTGCACACATGTGGGCAATCATCCAGCCATGTAAAAAAATCACATTTTAATGTGTTATACCACCATAATATCTTCCTCAGTGAGGAACCCAAACCCGACATTTTCTATCAATCGGCTTGATTGTACTCAAACCCCAGTTTCAAGATACCGTGCTCTCCAGGGGAATTCCAGCAAAATACACCATATAAAACAAATGGGCAATCCTTCAGGAACATCTCTCTCCTGTTTCCCGAGAACGGGGACTGTTATCCTCAGCAGGCCAGTCTTTGCCAGCCCTGCACTGGCCACATGCTTTATTTCTGTGATGTCAATAGGAACAACACATTTCAAATGAATGCTGTGTGCTCCTCTGCAGCCCTAGGAGGAGGAGAATGGGTGTCCTAATCACAGAATCACAGAGTCACAGAATCACAGAATCACAGAACGTTAGGGATTGGAAGGGACCTCAAAAGATCATCTAGTCCAATCCCCCTGCCGGAGCAGGAACACCTAGATGAGGTTGCACAGGAAGGCGTCCAGGCAGGTTTTGAATGTCTCCAGAGAAGGAGACTCCACAACCTCTCTGGGCAGCCTGTTCCAGTGCTCTGTCACCCTCACTGAGAAGAAGTTTCTTCTCAAATTTAAGTGGAACCTCCTGTGTTCCAGCTTGTGTCCATTACTCCTTGTCCTATCATTGTTTGTCACCAAGAAGAGCCTGGCTCCATCCTCGTGACACTCACCCTTTAAATATTTATAAACATGAATGAGGTCTCCTCTGACCTTCCTCATTTCTTCCAGGCTGGAGAGGGAAAAGGGCATCTTTGGGTCTGCAGGAGAAAAACGGTAGCCGGAATCTCCTCAGACAGCCTGCATTGCTCATTATTATCACTCCCAAAGGCTGCCAGGAGAAGTTTGGCCATCTCCACCTTTGGAGGTTTCTTGGACCCAAATAGACAGAGCCCTGAGTAACCTGGTCTGATCTCGGCGCTGACCCTGCTGGAGCAGAGGTTGGACTAGAGACCTCCTGGGTCACTTCCAACTTCAGCTGCCCTCTGATCCTATAAAACAAGCTGTGTTTTGAAAGTATACAGAGGAGAGTTTTGAGAAACCTGGGTGCTTCATAAGCTCTTAATGAGAAACACAAGGCTTGAGTCAGATCTGGTCTGCACAGATGCATACTCAGAGTAACATCACTGAAATGAACTGACTGCAGCATTCACTTCATACCCGGGTATTGTTTGGACTTTATGTTGAAGTATGTGACAAAGTGGATGTGCTAAGGAAGAGCAGTTTTTCAGTGATTTACAGCCACCTGATCAAGAGTTTGACAGAATTCATCTGTATCTGCAGAGGACGTGTGGTGCTCCGAGCTGGGGAGTAAACCAGACTTGGTTGGACTGAGTTTGATTCCATGCTGCCACCTCTGCCTCTGCCCTCACACAGCTGAGTGTGAGCCTGGGCTTTGGCAGCCACCCCTTGGGCTTCCCAGGAGGTACCTGAGCAAGAACAAGCGCAAAGGAGGAGCAGGGCATCACCAGCATTGCTGCTGCAGAGGTGGAGCTTTTATCCTGCCCTGGAGACCCCCACTTAGCCAAAAAATCAGGCATGTCACCTCAATAGTATTAGGGAGGAGGAAATTTTGAGATTTAACAGATTTTGTGTTTAAGCAGGGAAGCAGGGAGTAAGACAAGGTGCATACTTCAGGGAAAAGTACCTTGTAGTTTGGGTTTCTCCATTAGGATTCCATGGAAAGTAGCAGTGCAGAATATGTGCTAGACTTATAACACACTTTACCATCTCTTTCTCTATTTAGAGAGCATGCACTAGCAGTGTTAATTTTAATACTATGATTCTGCTAGGCACAATCCCTTAGAAATTTTGAGAAACTGCTTTCTCTGCCTCAAAAAATACATGTATCTGGGGCTCTGCCCTTCAGGTTTCAGAAATTCCTGTAATATGGACTTAGAAAAGTTAAAAATAACACTACATTTCCAGCAGCAAGATTTGAAGAATCAGATGTCACCCCACCCGACCTCAATTAAGTCAGGCAGAATTTGCTGAAGCAGCTGGATGGGATCAAGCAGGGTGTGAAAATCTGTGTTCTGGTGCCGGGCAGAGAAAAGAAGATCAGTTGGAAATTTCAGAGCGAAGCTGATTCTGTATGAAGTGGAGAATTTCAAGTGTGAATGTGTGTATGTGTTCGTGCATGTGCTGGGGAAAGTAGGGTTGGCAAGAGAGACAGAGGAGAGCTTTGTGTTCAGTGCTTCCTCTGACACAGCTCAGCCTGTTCCCTATCTCCCAGCTTCACTTCTGAGTGCCCAGGAACATGCGGTGGCTCCTCTTCCCCACCATCTTCATCATCCCTTGTACGCAACAGGTAAGTTCACTAAAAAGAAGAAAAAGATTTTTCCCTTCCTCACCCTGTCCTGGTTTAAAGTTTTTATTTGCTTAATGACAAAATAAATTTCAGAGAAGCAAATTACTCATGAGGAGCCATTCCCTACTCCCAAGTAAATTTCATTTGCAGTAAATTTTATTTACTGCATCAGTTCTGATGTTAATATTTGTTTCTCTCTAATCTGTACATTAATATGATTTAGTGGGGAAAAAAGTGTTAGAGAAGCCTAAATTGTCAGTGACCTTGCTTTTTTTTTTTTTAATATGAGCAGAAATGGTTTTCTGATGCAGTAAGAAAGCAAACATCTTGTCCATGCTCACATTCTAAATATATATTTATATGTATATACACAGTGATCTGACTCCAGGCTACTTTTACAAATACGAAAGTCACCTGGGCTGTGTTATACTCTGTCTCTTATGAGAAAATTTTAACTGCTAGCTTTTGCTTGAAGGTATTTGTGTCAAAGGCCATTTTCATTATTTATTTACCTAATTTTTAAAATCCACTTTATGTGCACATAGTGTATTTTTCCTTTAAAATCCAGATGAATGTCAAATGAAGAATTTTCAAATGCCTATCTCCCTCTGCTAACTTTCTGCATCTTTAAAGCCAGACTAAGATAACCGAACATTAGCAATAATACATTGCCTACCTTTGCTGTTTGCTTATTTATACCATACAGACCTTGTTCAATCTTTAAAACATAAGAAAACAAACAACAACACATGAAGGGTTCCTACACAATGGTCTCATTTTCTGATCTGCCCATAGGATCAGGAAAAGTATGCGGTGGGCTTGTGTGATGGGGATAGCTTTGGTATAGAAACTTTGAGATTAGAAAATATTTGACCTGTAAACTTTACAAGCTAACTTTAAATTTTCATTGTAACTTAATAGATTTTTGAAGATTTTTTTTCAGACAAACCAAGCTTCTCAGTAATTCTCCAGTTAAAATTGTCAGATATTTGCCTGATGCTGTTTTTCTTACTGGGAAACTTTGTAGTCTCACACCTTTCAGTTGACAACTTTCCCTAATAAAAAAGGAAAGAAAAATCACTTGCTTAGGTAGAATTCTGTAGTTTTAAAGCACATCTTAATCTGTAATACAAATTAAACATAGTAGTCGAAGCACACAGATTATTTCCTGCTACACATACCCATTTTGAAACGCGATATCTGATGTAAGCCACATAACCTTGTATAGCTGGCACATGGCCAAGTTCCTAATAATGCTCTGCTTAAAAAAGAAAAAAAATCAGCAAGAAAGTGTTTCCTAAAGCAACCACACAGTCTCGAGCACTGCTAAATGTATAGGAACACCTATATGTCTTGTTTTCAGAACAGGCCTTTAAGAAGCTATACACTCCAATGCACAAGTTCATCAAATTAACATTATGGTTTATAGGAAAGGCTTAGCTGCCTATAAAAAGTATGCTTAAGTTAGTTGTTTCTGTATTACTGCTGCATTTAGGTAAAAAGTATTAGAAGAAATCCTTTATCAGCAAATGATTAACAAAACACATTTATGCAACTATCTTCTGCATGCTGCATGGAATACCACCTGACATATATAAATTTATTATATGGATTGCCTATGTGAATTAATATCTATCTTAAAAATAATTCAGCCAAAGGAACTTGAAAGCTACTACTTTGGAGCTTCATTAGTAGCTGTGGATTAAGATATTGTAAGTATAGTAGTAAATGACTGTGAAAAATGGAAATTAGTGGTAGAAAAAAGCCTTTTAAAAGGTCATTTACTGCTGCATGCAATTACGCCAGCTCAATTATGCTGCAAGAGCTTTCATGTGATATGACATATGAAATGCTGAATTTTGCAGCTGCTTCCAGTTTGAAAGCTGAACTGAAAGAAAACCCAGCTGAGCAAGCTCTTCCCCTGCTTTACCTTAGCGTCTCTGTCAGAGGTGGTTTCCGCACCACCTGTGGTTTGGAGGAACAGAATGAAACTGGTAGGTGGGCCAGAAAAAAATCTAGGATTTTTTTTTTCTGTAATCTAGATGGTGACACTGGCACTTGGTGAAGGGATGGATCTTGCCTTTCCCTCTAGATTTGTTGGGCAGCAGTAAGCCCCAAGCCTTATGCTGTACTAGTGGCCAAGTGCTGTGTGTGCCCTCGCTCAACTATGGGGCCAGTCATCTGCAATAAGTAACTACATCACAACCTGCATTTCTGCTGAAATCAGCAGCATGAAAAGATTTAATTCTAAGATCTAAACTGTTACATTTTCGATGTAGTTCTTCGAAAAGGCAGATAGAAGAGAGCTATATCAAATGGATCCTTTCACACTCTGTGCTGGCTTAATCTTCCTCTGTGCCTCAGAAAAATAAATCCCTCAAAAATTACTTAGGACTTGTTTTTCTTTAAATAAGAAAAGAAAAAAAAAGAAAAAGAAGACACAAATTCTGAGACAGGATGTGGAAACCTGTAAATTCTGGCTAGATTTTGACCTCCTCCCGCTGATACAAACCTCTTTTAGAGATAAGTCTTTACCCTGTAAGCCTTGGATTCAATGAGCACTTATGCAAATAGATACACTCTTACAAAATGACCTCTTAGGCTCAGTGCAGCTACTAGCCTCCCTTATTAGGATTCCAATTTCTGAGTCTAACACAAGAGAATTTGTAAACATGTTTTTTCCAAAACAGCTACTCAGGTTTTGGAGCAATAGTAACACTCAGTAGAGGTTTACTATTTTAAAAGGCTTTTGCCATCAGAAGTGGCACACAGGGCAGTGGCTGGCTATCAGACAGTGGCAGAAATAAAAAGCTAATTAATTTGATAGGAGCTTTTTGGGAAGAAATATTTTAAATAAATCTATCATCTACTTTAAAACACTTTATCCTAGCTCTACTACACATCTTGTTCTATTGAGGGCAAAGAAAAGACAGATGAATTGTTTCATACAAGTAGTAGGGCAGGCTCACTGGTGGGACGACACCTCAGGGCATGATAGTGACTGATGAAATTGGTCCTGGCTCACACCTGACCTTCACAGCCTTTCACTTTTGGGATCCTGTGAGATGAGAAACATTAAATGTCTTCATGCAACGTCACATGGTTTTCTGTTGCAACCTCATTTTATGCTATCCCAGCTACACATAATGCTTTTGGCTCTCAAAACACCCCACTGTGTGTAAGTTTGTCCACAGCCCACCAGTGAAGTCTGGAGAAAAACCTTCAGAAAGCGGTGAAGGCCACCAGCGCAAGGAGGTTTGTCACTGGCCGTGCAGATGCCCGCCTGTGCCTACCTGTACACCCGGGGTGAGCTTGGTGAAGGACGGCTGCGGCTGCTGTAAGGTCTGTGCCAAGCAGTCAGGAGAGACCTGCAATGAGGCAGACATCTGCGATCCCCACAAAGGCCTCTACTGTGACTACTCGGAGGACGAGCCTAGGTATGAGACAGGCGTGTGTGCATGTAAGTTGTTCTTTCACGTTCACTTCTTGAGATCCAGGAGGGTGGGACCACACAGGTGAATGCCTTTGGAGGAAAACTCTGCTTGCTCGTGCTGCACAGCTCTGTGTTAGGCAATTTATCCTAATTTAGTCCTCCCACTGCTCAGAGAATCTGAGAGTAGGGCTGGGACTGTCTTTAAACTTACTTGCTTTAGTGAAACCAGTTCATTGTGCACAAGCCTGTTATTTGCAGACATGTTGATGACTGATTTAAAGTAAGGCAGCTGTAGTTATCTTCCTGTGTTAGTAACTGTTGTTTACCATTTGCAGATCTGGTAGCTGTAGGATGTGAGCTCAATGGAGTTTATTATCTTAACGGGCAGACCTTCCAACCTAACCCGCTTTATAAGTGCCTGTGTATCAGTGGTGCGATTGGATGTACGCCTGCATTCACACCAAGATTAGCAGCGAGTCCCTGCACCAGGGTGACAGGCAGGAAGAAGCCCGGACAATCCGCCTGTGGCCCGGGACAGCACAAGCAGCTTCAATCGACGAACTACAGGCGGATGTCAGGTGTGCCTGGCTACACCGGTAAACTTTTCTGAGCACAAGCCTTGCTTCACTCAGCGCCGCTGGCTCCAGCAGCCAGCGCATTGGCAATTTCTCAGTTTCTGCTCAAGGCCATTGCCAGGGTGACCGGTCTGTCCCAATTACCCCCCTTACTCTTAGATCACAGACTCTTTTCTCTAAACCTGATGAACAGGAAAACCAGAAAGCCTTTTGGCTTCTGTCACCAGGGGATCGGCCAAAGCTACCGCTTCAGCCCATCTTTCTGCAGAGGTTTACTACTCATCCGATCAGATCAATTAGGGTTGCTGGTGGACAGCCATTTCGCAGCCTGGAAGCTGTCTCACTTTCTCCTGCTTTGTGGTGGTAAGGAGTCTTAGTTTGCACTAGCATACATTAACAAGTTGTGGCCCTCTTCTTTCAACAGAAAGCAGAAAATATAAAGACTGCCTTGCAGCTGTAATCAACTCGCAAAATTTCAGGTCACTGCAAGGACAACCATCCTGCCAATTTTTTCTCTATTCAGAGTCTGAAGAAAATCATACAACAGTTACTCATGACAGAGTCAGTCGATGTTCCCTTTAACCGCATCCTTGCTCTGCTGCTAACCCTGCAGTTCTCTTTTCCACTCTAAGGAAGCCCCATTGCCACACGCAGCTCTCCTGGCCCTTCCCTGGCCACAGCTGCTGGCACCTGTGTTGCCTCCTTCCCTATACATGTGCAAGCTTCTGTGGTGAAACTCATCTTCATTACAACTAATGCAGGTAACAGAAGGCTGAGCCATTTATTTGGTGACAACTTGAATTATGGGAAAATTATGGCCTGAATCATCATCATCATGGATTAATAAAATAAAACTAAAAAGATTGCAAAGCTTATCAGAAAACCTTCATAAAGGACTGCTGAAGGATGCTACCGTTCAAGTTATACAAACTCAATTGTTCCTTCTCCCAGACACAGCTGATGGAGGGCAGCTGAGTAGGACAGAGCTCCCAGACAGAGCAGAGGCCTGGCTATTCCAGGTACATTCCCTGAGCTACCATCCATCTAGCTAGATGAAGACAGCAAAACTGAAGTTCCTCTGAGTCAAAGAGGGTGTTTGAAAACAGCAGACAATGTAGAAAATGAGGAACTGCAAATGTGCAAACCCCCAGAAGAACCTTATCTTCCTCTGAAGAAAAGCACCTGGAAATTTTGAGTGTGTGACCTCCCTTCTTGCCTTTCCCAGTGCAGAAGTATCACATCAACTCAGGCATGAATTTCATGAATGGCTCAAAGGACCAATACCTGTTTTGAAACCTTTTTTCTGCTGTGGATAACAAGTCCTACGTTTCATTTCACTGCTTTTGCATTGTTTTCTGGCTTTCCTTGTCAATTCCATTTACTGAATTTAGATACATAGGGATATAGGTAGGTCATACTTTAAAAATACTAAGTATAAACAACCATTTAGTTTCCCTTTATTTGTTGCAAATCTGTGACAGGCTTTTAATCTGCTTGCTGTAATGAGATCTTTAAATTGCTTTCTACTTTCAAGTATCCTTGCAATTCTGCCCATGTTCTTACCTATAAATGCACAGATTCCACATAGGGTTTTTGCAGTTTCATCAGCAACTTCTACACTGTAATTTTGGGTTTGGCTTCCTTTTCGTGTACTCCACCCAATCTAGCCCGAATCCATCAGAACATAGGCTTTTTGCCGATACCTAGAAGTGATTGGAGAATTTTATTCCTCAATACAAAACCCAAAGTCTTCACAGTATCCACAAAGAAACCAGTATTAATGCTTTCAGCACCCCTTTTCCAGCTATGCTTGGCCTTAAATAATTTTCAATGTCTCTTCCATTCTGGACATTTCATAATAATTCCACAAGTAACTCTCTCTGTGTAACATTTCCATCACATTAAACTGGAGGATGATACAACATGTGCAACTTCAGAGTCCTTGCAATGATCTGAGTACCCAGTGCCACTAAAGCTCAGCCCTAAGACTTTTCTATAACTTTACCTCACTGCCTCATTATGCCCTAAAAAGGCCTCATTTTTAGATTTAACTACAAAAGCACCTTCATGAGCAGAAAGAAAACATTTAACCTTTTATCTTTAATTAACCATTTTGGGGCTGTTCTGCTGTGTATATAATGCATTGCTGTCTTAGCTTACAGAAGCTTACCGCTAGTTTTGAAGAAAAAGTGCCTGGTACAGGCAACTCGCTGGACTCCCTGCTCCAGGACCTGTGGCATTGGCATATCCAGCAGAGTGACCAATGACAACAGAAAATGTGAAATGAAAAAAGAAAGGAGACTGTGCTTCATCCAGCCTTGTCTGACCAACGTGCTGAAGACAGTAAAGGTATTTTTCTAACATGACATGACTTCCTAATAGAAAAGAAAAATAGTGGAAGCGATGGAAAAATGGATGTATTAGCAACTAGTCATATGAAATGAGGGTTTTAAAATAACTCTGTTTTCTACCTTCGGTCTTCAGGTTTCAATAGTAAACTACATATGTTTAATTTCAAACAAAACAATGTAAGTGCTGCTAGTGCTGTCCTGGTGCTCAGTCACTCAAAATATTTTCTATTTGTTGGCTCATAAAGAAAACTAAAAGACAGCTTTCAGGAGGAGTAATTTTCAAGACATTTCTATCTAAATGTTGCAGTTCTTACATGTTCTTTTAATGTGTAAAAACTCAAGCTTTTATTTGTTTTTATATTAAAGATTCCAAAAGGAAAAACATGTCAACCAACATTCCAGCTTCCTACAGCAGAAAAACTTCTTTTTTCCGGATGCTCAACAACCCAAAGCTACAGACTGACTTTCTGTGGGGTGTGCTTGGACAAGAGGTGTTGCATACCGAATAAGTCCAAAATGATCACTGTACAGTTTGAGTGTCCCAGTGAAGGCTTCTTTAAGTGGAAGATGATGTGGATAACATCGTGCGTGTGTCAGAGGATTTGTACTGCTCCAGGAGATATATTCTCTGAACTCAAAGTCTTATGACAAGTTACCCCATTGACTGTAGCATACTGTGAGTGCAACAGCACATTCACATTCCAAAAAGCTAGTGTAACCCCCTGCCACAGCATTGTTTATAGAGAAACTACGTATGTGAATATTCATTTTTTAAATAGCATATGGAAAACACAAGAGTGTGGGGTTTTTTACACTTTGTTGTTTTTATAAGGAAATACATTGTTGAGAAGTGCACACATAACACTAGTATTGTAAAAACAAGAACTTCTGGCAATTACAAAAGGCACAGCAAGATGGCTTCATACCCCACTGTAACAAGTTGTTGTCCACAAAGACAAATACATGTGAATTCATAGATGCTTTAACCTATTATGAGAAGAAATATACCCTGTAATATTTCAACTATCATTCTTGATTCTCAAAACAACACTTTCTACTGTGTATTTGTAAAACTCAATGCTGTTTCAAACAGAAATCAATTTTAAGCTCTGATTGCTTTTTACAGCAGATAATTTTTCTCCAGTGTTGTGAATAGAAACAATGCACTTGTAGAGGAACAAGTGGACTGCAAAATTTCAAGGAAATTACTATTTTTAGAATATTTTCTTAAAAAAAAACACTCTCAACCAATGTTATCACAATGCTTTATTGAATACTTCTGTACTTTGAAAATTGTGCTTACTTATACACCCACTCCAACTCTGCTAGGACTTCAGGCTTTATGAAATTCTTGTACTGATCTGCTCCGATTTGTTACAGTTCACTAGTCTTGCTGCTCCAAGACAGCCAAGGCTGGCAAGCAACTGGAAACAGCTGTACATTCAATTCTGTAAAAGTTCTTACTGTAATATAAAAACCTACTTACTCTGGTAATTATAAATATTGAAACATCTATTTTACTTGCATTCTCTGAAGCATACAAACTCTGTTCTCCAAACAGTCGTCATAACTTCATTGTAAGTGCATGTTTCGCTCACAGGTATATTGCATTATATCATTATCAAGTGCAACTCAGCATTAATGAATATAAGTTATTAAAATAATAATTAGTACTCTAAGTATAATACTGGAAACAATGTACTTTGTTGAATTTTCTGGTATTCCTATTTTGATATCAACTCAGAATGCTCTAATACAGTTAAGTACAACATAGAAGCAAAACTATTAAAGCTATGACCATAGCTTAGAGCATTCTGAAATAACTATCCTGCAAAGTATAAGCAAGGAGTTTGCTTAGAGACTTGCTTCCATCTCTGAAAAGACTATGTGGCCTTCTCTTCACAGTCGCTTGTTAAAAAAACTACCTAGAAACAGTGATCCTTCTTTGAAGCAAGGCCTGCCTTTAGTTTGCTGTAAGCCGAAAGTCTGAGAAAAGAACTACATTTTTGGCTGCTACCTCTCTCTTTCTCGTCTTTACAGCATATGGTATGTCAATTTACAGTCAGGAAGACTGCTCTTACTGATGTCTGCCATAATTAGGTGCCTTCAACTCCTTCTTACAGGCCAGGCCTGTCACTTAACATGACACCTCTCAGAGCTGAGGAAGCCACTGTCCTAGACTCATTTTGCAATGTCAATAGCAAGGCACGCTGCACTTCGTTCCAGTTCACCAAACCGCTTGGCTGCTTGGTGGAATTTTCTTTTCTTTAAAAAAAAAATAAAAATCAGTTCTTCCTTTAAAGTGCTATTTTCAGTCTTGAGGGATCTGTTCTAGGACCACCTTTTGTAGCATCCAGTTCATTGTACTCTTCTATTAGGTCAGATAATGATGACACTGCTTCAGAAAAACAGCTTTCCTCCATCCCATCTATATGCAGATAATGATGAAGGTGAGCCTATGAGAATAAAAAGTTCAGCGTTATCCTTTTTCTTGGCACTAATTCCTTTGGCTCAATAAGTATCATTTAGCCTGCACCAAAGTGCAAGCACTGTAGAAAGTGGATTTAAAGACATGCATCATGACTTCACTTGCCAAAATACTTGGTAACTTTGGTAGCAATCCCCTATGGAATCACAGGCAATACTACCAATTTCTTAGACTGCCATCTTTTTATATTTTGTCTTCTTGGGTACACCTGACCAAACTATGCATTGGGTTTACATGGCAAGTTTGGAGGCGGGTGGGAAGAGGTTTTTGCAAGAAGACACCAGGAGCTGCCCCTATGTTGGACAGAGCCAAGACCAGACAGCTCCAAGACAGATCTGCTGCTGGCCAAAGCTGAGTCCATCAGCAATGTTGGTAGCACCTCTGTGATAACATATTTAAGGAGTAAAAAAACTCTGTGAAACAGCTGTAAGAGAGGAGTGAGAAAGATGCAGGAGAAATAGCCCTACAGACACCAAGGTCACTAAAGATCTAGGGGGATGAAGTGCTCCAGGTGCTGGAGCAGATTCCCCTGCAGCCTGTGGAGAAGACCATAGTGAATAAGGTTGTCCCCCAGACTGCAGGAGAAGACCACAGTGGAGCAGATATCCACCTGCAGCTCATAGAAGACCCCAAGCTGCAGTAGGTGGATGTGCCCTGAAGGAAGCTGTGGCCCATAGGGAATCCATGCAGAAGGAAGCTCCTTGCAGGAACTGCAGCCCATGAAAAGGAATACATGAAGGAGCAGGTTTTCTGGCAGGACCTGTGACCTGGAGCAGTCTCCTCCTGAATGACCATACCTCATGGGAAGGATCAATGTTGGAGCAGTTTGTAAACAACTGAATGGAGGAACTGCATGCTGGAGCAGGGGAAGAGTGTAAGAAGGAAGAAACAGCACACAAAATGTTATGGACTGATCACAATCCTCATTCCCCATCCTCCACTGCTCAGGGAAGGGAGGAGGTAGAAGAGTTAGGAGTGTAACTGGACCTGCAAAGAAGCATGTGGGGTGGGATGAAGATGGTTTTAATTGTGGTTTTATTTCTTGCTATTCTAGTCCTTTGTTAAGTGGCAATTAACTAAACTAATATTCCCCAAGTCAGGCCCGTTTTGTGCATGATGGTGGTTATTAGTGAGCGATCTCCTGTCCTTATCTTGAACCATGAGCTTTTCATCATATGTTCTCCTCCATCCCACTGAAGAGGGAGGGTGAGAGAACAGCTTGATGGGCACCCAGCAACCAGCCAAGGTCAACTCACCGCAAACTGGTAGGCAGATCTGTTAGATACTGCCTCATTGCTGAAGAAAGCAAGTATGTTCCCTGGTAGGTACAGGTTAAATAAGGGGTTTACCCCAAGAAGCAGCTGTTGGAATGATTCTTTGATAGGTAACAGGTAAAAACCTTGGGCCGTTACTTTTAAGCAGTCCCTTTGTGATATTCAGGCTTGCTTCCCAATAATGCAAGATGGTATTGATTGGTGACTATGGATGTTATAATGATGACAGAGTTGTACCTTTTTCTTGTAAAGCTTCATAAATCTGTTTCTGAGTTTAATAAAAGTTGGTTTCACACAGGTGTTGTTTGCTAAAGCCAGAAGGGAATGGGAATGGCCCACTGGAGGTACTGAACACAAACCAGTTTTCCAGCCCTCTTGATTCCAGGAGACAAAATGCAGGGAAGGCTTCAACCTGTGACACAAAAATTTAGTTACCTAGGGAAAGTGAAGAACAGAAGCCTAAATTTCCTTCGCTAACAAACAATTTGAAAAGCTTAACATTAGAGCTTTCAGGACCAAGACAGACAGATATAGCTAGCATTTTGAGTAAGACATTTTATACTTCCGACTAAAACAGTGTGTCTATTTAAAATTTAAACAGCAAACACCGATTTTATTTTCTTAATTTAATATACTGGGATTTGAAGAGTAAAGTTACAAGCACCTATTTCTATAAAAGGGACTGCAAGCACTCAGATTTAGGAGGGTGGCAGATTAATGCCATGCAGGGACAATCAGTGTACCTACAGTTTAGAAGTAAAATGCTTTTGATTCTCAGAAATTTTCCCCATATGCCCCTGTCTGCCTGTAAAATCCATCCTGTATGTGAAGTTAGCCCACCTTTCCTGTTGTAACTAAGTAGATGAACAGTATAAAAGGTAGAAAACAGTGCTAACACTACAGAGTTCTTAACATAGTGATGATTGCCTATCTACACATAAATAACCATGAAAGAGAGGGGACTCTTGCTCAGAAAAAAGCAAACTTCTACTACAGAACCCATTCCTCCAACATCCCCTATAGGCAGGAGACCTCTGGAAGGTTGAGCTTTGCTTTCTTTTGTATTTTTGAGAATGGGAGGAGCAGCACAAGCACATCCAGTTTGCTCCCTTTATTTGGAAACCCAAGAATGCTGTGACTTATTCTAACTCGTTAAGTAAATTATTTTCTTCCCTCCTGAAATGAAGAAAAGTATTTCTGAATAAAATGATTTGGTATTGAAATTCTTCAGATGAAAAGTGAGAGTATTCTGGAAAACTGACAACAGTTTCAATAACAAATACCATGACTACTTGGTGTGGAATTACAAACCTTTCAATATTTCTGCGAAGGTCTGAAACCTGCACATTTCCTCGAACGAGGAGTGCGCAGGCAAGGTAGAGGCTATGCTTTGGATCTGCTTGAATTAGTTGATGATCTCTACTAAAAGCATCTGAAAACATCTGATCCAACCTAAGTACAAAGAAAACAGAGTTATCTACTTTTATTAAAGCAGGGTAAAAAAGTTCTTCAGAATGCCCACCCTCCAGGGTTTAAAAGTTTATACATTTCTGGAAATAAAGACACATTTAACCTAGGACCATGAATGCCACGAAAAAGATTAAACCTTTATATGTACCCATGTTGGCATTAGAAGTTCTTAAAAACAGACCAGATCCATTTTCCCCTCTCTACTCCCTCGTGTTACCATGAGGGTTGTACTGCTATTGAGTCTGAAGTCATAGAAGTCGACAGACTAAGAGACCTTTATTAAGGCAGTTTTAGTTCAACGGTCACAATGTATTAAAATACGTAAAAGAATTTAAACACATGAGGTTTTGGTTATATGACAATTTCAATGGACAATCTCACTGCTCATGAATGACCTGACAAGGAATACCAACATG